AGCAGGCCTATGGATTTAGAAGTCTCTTGTTTTTGTTTGTATATATATATATATATATATGTGTGTGTGTGTGTGTGTGTGTGTGTGTGTGTGTGTGTGTATATACAGTGAGGAAAAAAGTATTTGATCCCCTGCTGATTTTGTACGTTTGCCCACTGACAAAAAATTATCAGTCTATAATTTTAATGGTAAATTTATTTGAACAGTGAGAGACAGAATAACAAGAAGAAAATCCAGAAAATTTATTAAAAAATTTATAAATTGATTTTCATTTTAATGAGGGAAATATGTATTTGACCCCTCTGCAAAACATGACTTAGTACTTGGTGGCAAAACCCTTGTTGGCAATCACAGAGGTCAGACGTTTCTTGTAGTTGGCCACCAGGTTTGTACACATCTCAGGAGGGATTTTGTCCCACTCCTCTTTGCAGATCTTCTCCAAGTCATTAAGGTTTCCAGGCTGACGTTTGGCAACTCGAACCTTCAGCTCGCTCCACAGATTTTCTATGGGATTAAGGTCTGGAGACTGGCTAGGCCACTCCAGGACCTTAATGTGCTTCTTCTTGAGCCACTCCTTTGTTGCCTTGGCCGTGTGTTTTGGGTCATTGTGATGCTGGAATACCCATCCATGACCCATATTTAATGCCCTGGCTGAGGGAAGGAGGTTCTCACCCAAGATTTGACAGTACATGGCCCTATCCATCGTCCCGTTGATGCGGTGAAGTTGTCCTGTCTCCTTAGCAGAAAAACACCCCCAAAGCATAATGTTCCCACCTCCATGTTTGATGATGGGGATGGTGTTCTTGGGGTCATAGGCAGCATTCCTCCTCCTCCAAACACGGCGAGTTGAGTTGATGCCAAAGAGCTCCATTTTGGTCTCATCTGACCACAACACTTTCACCCAGTTGTCCTCTGAATCATTCAGATGTTCACTGGCAAACTTCAGACGGGCATTTATATGTGCTTTCTTGAGCAGGGGGACCTCGCGGGCGCTGCAGGATTTCAGTCCTTCACGGCGTAGTGTGTTACCAATTGTTTTCTTGGTGACTATGGTCCCAGCTGCCTTGAGATCATTGACAAGATCCTCCCGTGTAGTTCTGGGCTGATTCCTCACTGTTCTCATGATCATTGCAACTCCACGGGGTGAGATCTTGCATGGAGCCCCAGGCCGAAGGAGATTGATAGTTCTTTTGTGTTTCTTCCATTTGCGAATAATCGCACCAATTGTTGTCACCTTCTCACCAAGCTGCTTGGCAATGGTCTTGTAGCCCATTCCAGACTTGTGTAGGTCTACAATCTTGTCCCTGACATCCTTGGAGAGCTCTTTGGTCTTGGCCATGGTGGAGAGTTTGGAATCTGATTGATTGATTGCTTCTGTGGACAGGTGTCTTTTATACAGGTAACAAGCTGAGATTAGGAGCACTCCCTCCCTTTAAGAGTGTGCTCCTAATCTCAGCTCATTACCTGTATAAAAGACACCTGGGGGCCAGAAATCTTTCTGATTGAGAGGGGGTCAAATATTTCCCTCATTAAAATGCAAATCAATTTATAACATTTTTTATATGCGTTTTTCTGAATTTTCTTGTTGTTATTCTGTCTCTCACTGTTCAAATAAATCTACCATTAAAATTATAGACTGATCATTTCTTTGTTAGTGGGCAAACGTACAAAATCAGCAGGGGATCAAATACTTTTTTCCCTCACTGTGTATATATATAAAAAAAAATATATATATATATATATATATATATATATATATATATATATATATATATATATATATATATATATATATATATATATATATATATAAAATAATAAAAAATATACACACACACACACACACACAAGGTCAGCCACTATGGTGTCCAGGGTTGCCATGTGCCCGTGACAAAAGCAGTCCAATAGTCAATCAAATTAGCTCCAAACAACCCCAAAACCAAAACTCAAGTGTCCGATTCACACTGATTTTAAATTCCAACCTCAGTAACTATCAATACACCAAATATTACACCAAATGCAGCAATATTAAACATTTCCTTAATGCAATTAATACAAAGGTATTTTTTTTTCTTCTTCAAATAAATATTTTACTAAGGGCATAAAATATTATATTTTTATACGTATATGATATGATGTATTAGTGTTTGATTACAATACCGAATAGACAATATATGGCCAAAAATTTGTATACACCTAACCATCACACAAATATGAGCTTGTTGAACATCCCATTCCAGATTTATTCCCTTTTTGCTGTTATAATAACCTCCACTCTTCTGGGAAGGATGTCTACTAGATTTTGGTGCATGGATGTGGGGTTTTGTGTTCAAGCAGTCACAAGAGCATTAGTGAAGTCAGGTGAGAAGGCCTGGGGTGCAGTTGACATTCCAGTTCATCCCAAAGATGTTTAATGGGGTTTGGGTAAGATCTTTGTGGAGGACACTTGTGTTCTTCCGCTCCAATCTTCGCAAACCATGTCTTCATGTAGCTCGCTTTGTGTTGCAGGTTCGGGTCTCTTAGTACCATTGAAGGGAAGCTGCAATGCCTCAACATACAAAGACATTCTAGACAGTTATGTGCCTCAAACCTCGTGAGGAAGGCCCACGTACAGGTGTGATGTTCAGGTGCCCACAAACTTTTGCCATATAATGTTCTTCCTCAACATTTTTCTCCCGAAGAATTCCTGAATTCCCCCAACGTTATATCCTATCACTTATTACCAGACAATTTCTCCATTTTCATAAGCTCGTTATTAAAGTCCTTGTTATCTTTTCCAGAAGGCATACTTTAATAATGCCAAACTCACTGTTTTCTTCTACCGCTTCTTTGTTTTTCGTTGTGATTTGTCGTAATTCAGCTGCCGTATAATACGTATAAAGCAGAGAGAGGGAAAGTAAATGAAATCATGTTTGGACAAAAGATTTAGTTTTTTTTTCTCCTCACTCTATCGCTCTCCCCGATGTTTTCTCTCTGTGCCTCTTCGCAATAGCAAACAATTACAATAGCTATTATTAGAGCTGACAAGCCATTCATTCCCATTACAATTACCAAAACAGGCCAACGCATGAAGCGTGAGCAAGCCAATCGCTGGTGAAATTGACTGCATCTCTGTGCTGTTATCTACGACCGCCAATTGGCAAACTGGTATTGAGCCTTGACTGTCTCCTATTCACTGAGTGTATCCGTGTGCGTGTGTGTGTGTGTGTGTGTGTTTCAAGTTCTAGGCTTGTGTGATTGCTCAAGTCATTTATTAAAGTTGAATAAAAGTCTGATGCAGCATCCTGACTTGAGACTTGGTTGCTTTTTCCCCCTCAGGAGATCTCAGCATCACATCTCATCACATTACGAACTCAACTTCTAACACATGATACAAGTGTGAAGTGTTGCATGTAGTTATCTGAGAGATGTTGGGCAAATCAGTGATTTAGTCGAGGAAGGAAGTAACTCCTCTCTGTAAATCTTTTCAAACATGATTTTTCTCATTCTCATTTCTTTCTTTCTTTCTTTCTTTCTTTCTTTCTTTCTTTCTTTCTTTCTTTCTTTCTTTCTTCCTAAATGCAACTGGAAGTAGAATTTATTTTATTCACCTATTTATATATATATATATATATATATATATATATATATATATATATATATATATATATATATATATATATATATATATATATAAACATGTAAATGATAGGCTTTTGAAATAAGAAGAAAAAAATTCGATTCAATCCTGTATTTATTTGTGCTCTCATTTCTTTCTTTCTTTCTTCATTCCTTTATTTATTTGTGCTCTCTTTATTGTTACTATGTTCATTTAGTTATTTGTGACTTTATTTATTTAAATGTACTTACAGTATGTATGTGATATTTATTTATTTCCTTTTTAGCATGTGCACACACACACACACACACACACATATATATATATAAATATATATATATATATAAATGAATGCTGCTCATAGTTGCTAAACGGAGGAATACTTTATGGTCATACTGAAAAGAATAAAGAACATTTGTGTTCTTTAACTAATTAAATCACAGAACGACAACAAAACTAAAAACACAGATTGCAGAACACATATTTTTATGTTCTAGTGAGTGAGTCCTTTGGCATTAACACTGTGTTGCAGTTTCCTAATTTCTGATTCCAGATAAAAAAAAAAAAAAATTCGTCAAACTTAGGGTTGAAATGCATCCCTCAAGATGGGAAATGTTTTGATGGCAAGAACTTCATTTATTAAGAAATTTCTCTCATTGCCCACTGAACGCGCATTTCCTCCCGCCGCAAGCTTTCTGACGGCTCCATAGTCGATCGTTTCTAGCATTACAGACAAAGTGCTTAAACAAAGCATGTTTAACAGGCGTTCCCATCTGCCATTCTCCCGAGTAGCTACAGCCTTAATAACTGAAACTCTCATTTCAGACCTGTTACGAGCTCCAAGTGCAGCAGCATTAAGATGCGTTTGTAGGGGGAAAAAAACCTTAAAACTTAAATCCAGTGATTAAAATAGGTGCTGAAGAAGGTTAAATCCAGGTGTTCATTGTATTGTGAGAATATCTGACTTCAGCAGTAGTATCTGCATTATCGAACAGTTCATAAAGGTAATGTAGCCGATTCTATATGATTAATATCTTGGAGAGGTATTCTCCGTCGCAAAGCTTTCCACTAAATTGTGACATGAGAGTTTTTAAAAATGTGAAACGCCTCAAAAATAACATTAAAGGCATGAGGAGTGATTCGTAGAGAAAGTGGCGTGGAAAAACTAAAAACTAAAAAGTGACAAACACTATTCTGGTGATAAAGTAGAACTAATGCTTTAGGTTACTCTTGAATACAAAGTTTCCACATGGGTCTTACCCAAAATCTTATAAAACAAAGCGAGATTACATTCAAGGCATTCGGCAGACGCCTTCATCCAGAGTGACTTACATTTATCTCATTTATAAAACTGAGCAGTTGAGGGTTAAGGAGCTTGCTCAAAGGCCCAGCAGTGTCAGCTTGGTGGTACTGGGATTTGAACTCATGACCTTTTGATCAGAAGTCCAACGCCTTAACCACGAGCTACCACTTCCCCAGAGATCACATTCCCAACACCTTATCAAAGGAGCAATCTTTTCAGCAGCCATGGAAATGGAGTCCTAGCACGACCGTAACATACAAAACCACAACGGATATGCACAGGATGCCGCTCTGATGTCTGCGTCTTCGAAAACATTTTACTCACAACGCAAAAAGAGTGAAAGCATAGTTTTCAAATTTGTCCATATTTTAAAAAAATAATAATAATAAAAAAAAATTCGCTTTGTTTTCAGTGAGCCAGAAAAATAGTTCCTATGGATGGAAGATAATAAAAAACTGATATTTTTGAAATATCCGTGTATGCATGGGCAGAGCCTCAACGGCTTTTATTTACCGATAATCATGTACATTTTTTTTTTTCATGGAACAACGACATTAACCATGGCGCATACTCTTTATGTACAGTAGACCTAGAGGCATGAGTCTTTGAGAGTTTTGAATCAAACACAAGCAAGGTCCTGAGACGATCACTGAACGTGAAGTGTTACTGAATTAACACATGGGCAGCACTGGGGAAGCAGAGAGGCTAAACACAGCACTATAGAGTTCTTAACATTGACATGAACTATCCAAATGGAGCTTCAAATTAACACCGATTTATTGCTGGAGGTACATTTAGTAAAATCTGCAGATGCGGTGTTCAATATAACCTCAGTGTATCCCGCAATGCCACCCCTGACAGATAAAAATCAACTTCTAAAGCATCCGGTGATGTATGTCTTATCAAACGAAGCCATGATGCGCTCTCTTACCTGCCGTAGGTTTCTCGTGACCTTGACGTCGTGCCAGGCGTTGTCGTTAAACTTGCCGTTGACGGGTTCGACGAGTGCCTCGAAAGCACCGGAGCCGAGGTTGATGACGAGCCAGACGGCGCCGCTCTTCAGCGACAGGTTCACGTAATCGGCTGATTTGCCCGTGTGTAGCATCAGGCCATTCCGCTGCAGGGTTCGGAAGGACAGCGTGATCTCGTCCGTGCTGCTCTGGATGGGGGTCATGGACAGGTCATAGCAGAAAAACTCATTGCCTTTGAACGTCGCCACTGATTCTTCTTTACCTGCTGAAAAAAATAAATAAATAAAAACATCAGTTCCAGCGGAAATTTGGTGTGCTGCATCGCTCTGCTAACCTGTAACTGGGTTTTTAATAAACACTGGGTTACTTCAAAAACATGGTGGCCTTCATCCAAACAGCTTTCAGCAAGGTATTCCACACAATTAGCATCGAGCTATCATACATTTTGTCCTGGTCCTTTAATTGTTCGATGTACATTGGAAAGAAACAGCCAGTGTGTGTGATAATTGCAAAAATGCTTGGACCCTGTAGATCGCTGCTTGTGGCTATTTATTAACTTTTGTAAGTTGGTTTTACATTATAACAATTAATATCATGTGAAAAATATAGTTTTACATTTGATAAACCGCTTGAAAACAACACACACACACACACACACACAAATGTGCATCTATTTGGGTTTACAACCGAATCACTCCCTCACATCAGAGTTTATTTACTAATCTTATGCTCCTGTAAAATGCCAGGGAGGATATGAGGTAGAAAAATCCCATCTTATTTTACACATCGAGTTACAGAAAAACAGAGTTACTCGGCTGTAACATTGGTGAGAAGCAGAAACGAAGAAATATGGAGAGAGAGAGACAGAGAGAGAGAGAGAGTTGTTAACAGAAATCAGATTCTGTGGCAAAGCATAAAACAGTCTAAGTGCTGATGTAAGGAGAACACGCTGCAGGGAAATGGAGCGAAGAAACAATTTTTTCAGTGATGTATTAAGCAAAAGAATCTAGATTTTTAACAGTAAGCAACAAGCGGTGGATTGATTGCTGCTTGTAAGACAGAGGATCACAGAGGACAGAGAGAGTTTGTACAGAAAACTACATGTAAACATAAATCTTACCATGTAAAACTAACACTGAGTAACTTTGCTCAGTGGTGGTGTTCTTGAAGCAATATAACACCTGGATTAATCCTTCATACCAACTGACATGAATCTACAGGCTTATTTCAACAGGTTTCAAAGACAAATTCAAAGTTAGGACACCTTCTAGGGTGACTTCCATAAGACACATTAACTGACTTGAGGTGAGGTTAATTGGCAAAACGTCCAGAAAAAAGCAGAATCTAAAAAAAAAGAAAACCAATTGAAAAATATTAGAAAAAAACAAAACAAAACAACAACAAAAAAAAACTAACACACACACACACACACACACAGACACACACACACACACACACACACACACACATACACTGTTAACTCTGTGGTTATAATGCCAGTTACCTCCATCAGCTTACCAGGTGGGGTTAACTGCCAAATTTAACAAAGGCTAAACCTCCCAGGTCTGTGTTCATTCATTTTCGGTTTCAAAATTGAAAAACAAAACACATATTAAGGCGGGTACATGAATGTTGTTTTAACATTGACAATGAAAGGAATAATTAACTATGCTTAAAACCTATTCTTGCTCAAAAATGCAAAATAAGGATGATGAATCCTTATTGGTCACACCACACACAGAAATTATTTTCTTCACATACCCGAGCATGTCCGGAAGTAGGGGTCAGAGCGCAGGGTCAGCCATGATTCAGCACCCCTGGAGCCGAGAGAACTAAGGGCCATGCTCAAGTGCCCAACAGTGGCAGCTTGGTACTGCTGGGGCTTGAACCGCCAACCTTCCGATCAGTAACCCAGAGCCTTAACCACAAAGCCAATTATTTAAGCGTCATGGCACAAGTTGCATAAGGGAGCATCTGGCAATTCCACCCACCGAGTTAAAATGTCGACCTTGTCCATGCATTAATTAAAATGGCATACGTTTTAACATACAAAAGTCAGTTAAAAACACGTTTTTTTCACTCTAAAGACTGTAGCAGGCTTACAATGAGGTTTACTAGGTTTTAGAGATATAGTTCACCTAAAAAACTTGTAGTAAGTTACTAGTGGCCAAAATGATATACTTCAGGTGAGATTTTGCCAATACCTCCCTTTATACAAAAACAATACTCAATTAGTTTAATAGATCAGGCATCTTATTGTGAGCCTGCTACAGCCTTTAGAATGTAAAATGTGTATTTTTAAATGACTTTTGTATGTTAATAGTTATGTCATATTAATTAATGCATGGACAACGTTGATGATTCGGGCCGGATCTAGGCATGGGCAGGAGTGTGTTCTGAGCCCACCCAAACATCTGTCTGGCCCACTCAATCAGAACATAGGCAAAGACAACATTTATCTTTTTTTATGATTTGTGTATTGGTTAAAAGCTATCTGAGGTGGGTTGTGTGTTGAGAAGTTTGAGGAAGGGCTGTAGACTGCCACAACCAATGGCAAAATAATGCCAGACGGCACGTTCTATACTCACGAGACGGCTTTAATCTGCCCACCTTCTTTTGCTGGCAAGAACCGGGCCTGTTGACGTTTTAACTCAGTGGGTGGAATTGTCAGACGGTCCCTTATGCAACTAGTGCTGTGATAACCTAGTCAGAACATTCTCAGGTGTAAATATGCATCTCTAAGATGCGTTGACATTTTTAAGTAAATGGTTTATGTCATATACAATAATTGAATATTATTAAAAGTAATGGTGGTATTGATATGTGTGTAAGACTGTCGCCTCTATAGAACAAGGGCAGGGGAAAGTGAATATCCAGTGAATATCAATCCTAAAACTTTATTGCGTTGAAAAACCTGGCAAAAATTTCCCGGTGGACATGTCCGGTGGTTTTCAGTTATTTAAATCACACTCGGGTTATGCAAGCATGCAACAAAGCAAAATAACTCAGATTCCAAAAATAAGACAGCAAAAAACTATAAATCTTTGAAATAGTTTGCATTTTTGAGCAAAAAATGGGTTTTAAACATAGTTAATTAGTATTTTCACAGTCAATATTAAACCAAAAATTATGAACACATCGTCATTCTTATTTTGTTCGTTTTAATTTTGAAACCAAAAACAAATGAACACAACCCCTCCCTTACCCCTTAACAACAACAAAAAATATTCATCTATTGTCCTTCCCTTCGACATGCCTTTATTTGTGCTCCAAGCTCCACAAACGGTGCAGCCACCTCAACAATCACTAAAGAGTTGATGCGTCACATTTATATCACTTTGCTCGCAGATGATTGGTCCAAGTTGGGTTAGAGTTTTCTTACCCAGAACGAAACCTGCTCCGGAGCAGCGTAAGTTACCATTGTGATAAAACCAACTAAAAACCAATCCTAAACTAAAAAACAATTTTCTCAAACTAAATACTCACTGAAAACCGGCTTCGTGAAACAGGCCTTGGGTGTGATATTTGAAAAATGCTTGGACCCCGCAGATCGCTGCTTGTGGCTACGTATTACCATTATATTTTTTCTTCTTTTTCCATTATTAAACAGAGTTACTATACGTTGGTTTTGCATTATGGCAATTAATATCATGCAAACAAAATTTAAAAAATAGCATTACATTTGATGTTAAAAATAGGGGAAAAAAGGAAGAAAAAAAAATTGAAGCGTTACTTTTTTCAGGGGTATTTTAAAGATAATCTTGCAAAATCCAAATAAGCTTTACAGATCTTTTTTGGAAAGGGTTTAAACAATGTTTTTCATGCTTGTTCAATGGACCATAAACAATTATCGCACATGCACACCTTAGACTCCTTCCAAAAATGCTAAACAAACATCACCTCACAGAAAACGTCACCATATCAACAACTGCACACATTTTATACGAGAACTAATTTGTTAAAGCGTACTTTGATGCTGGCCCATCCCAGACCGAAATATTAATTCCACAGCTCAGATCACGAGCCTCCTCGAACCTGCACTTGACTGCGTTAAGGACGCCTTTTATAGGATATGTGCTTGCACTCACACCCACATGCACAGAGCACAAGCATGAAATTACAGCCTTGCTCCAAATCAATCCCATCAAACTCTGCTCTCTGCAACTCTAAACACGTTCCCGATGAACACAAGAGAAGC